TCTCACAGGTTATAAAAACGGAGTGTAAAATAAAACAGCCAAGTCAGCCTGCAGCTGAAATCATGAAGCAGCTGATGCATTCAATGTAAATGCATGAAAAGAAGCCCAGCATAGACTTCCTGCATCACACCGTGTTATTTGGTCCTGGACTTGGATGCACAACAGCAGACAAACGGGGTGATGGGGGCTGCGCGCAGCCGGGGGCGTCGCAGTTGCTCGTGAGTTAGCATGTTAAGGTGCAAGTGTGCTCACAATATCCTGAGTACAAATCTTCATCGCGTCTCCCACTCTCCTGCCAACGTGAAACACACTGTTCACAACGCATCGATGGCTTTACTGTATTTGTGTGTCAACGTGAAACCTGAGCAGCTACAGAGTAACAGTTCGAACACAGGACTGACTCGTCTTTGGGTGGAGCGACTGCGTCGAACACGCGCTGCTCTTTGATGGTTACCCGAGGACGCCCCGTCACGCTCAGCGTGTCTGTGACGGACATGAACCCTGAGCTCGAGCTACAGTCGGCAAATGCTTGGAAACGTATCAGGAAACGAGGTTTTCAAATGGTCGCTGTGGGAATGTTAGAGTGCAGGAATGTGTGAGTGAGGAACGAGCAGCTCCCGGAGCGCTCGCTGAAACTGAAAGCAGACACAGGATGCAGGGAAACGCACCGCCAGGTCGTTCTGACTCCACACTTACAGAGCCAGCATGAACACTGCTACATACACACACATCCAACTGCTCAACCCTGTCAGAGCTCCATGTTTCAGGTGGGAAACAGAAGCATCACATCCTGGTCCGATCCTGGACGGTCAGCTACACGGAGTCAGTCAGTCGGGCTGACATTACACCTCCTGTCACCAGCTAACACTCATCATGTGCTCTAACGCAGCGATGGTCTCTGCAGATCATCTTTACTGTTTCGTTTCAGTGACCACGTGGTGACGGCCCGTCGGCCTCATGACGGTCGGTCAGGTGACCATCAGGTCACCAGCAGCCGTATGTTCTGACTGGTTGGTGAAACTGGTCACAGGTATGTAGTGAGTGCTTGTTAGTCTGCAGTTTGCATGGAAGATGCTGACGTGTCTGCACACACCTGTTGGCCACGCCCCCTGCAGAACTGATCATGTGAGAAGCGCGACTGGAAACACAACGTTCCCCTTCAGAGTAAAAGCTGCACCTTAAATGTGTTGAGGCGCAGCTTTTACTTTGAAGGAAAAAGTTCTCCAATTCCAGACGGGACACACTTCCCACAGCTCGGAGGAAACTGCTAAGTCAGCATATTCCACGCAAACTGCGAGCAACCCTGGCGATCACGGGGAAGTCACGTAGCAACAGCTAACAGGAAGCACTCACCGACCAATCAGGGAGCACGCTCTGTGTTTTAATCTGGTGACTGGAAGTGGAATCATGTTTAATGTGGTGGACGAATCTCAGCAGTGAGTGATCATAAGTGATAATTAACGTTTATATACTGTGGAATCTATGTGTCTGTATTTTAGCTCAATAATAAGGAAAAAACAGAAACTGTGGGAATGTTGTTACCCGACGATAACGCCGACGTGCTTCTTATTCAGGTGAGAAACTGAGGATCCAAACCAGAACTTCCCAAGTGTAAAACATTAAGACGCAAACGTGTATTTGGATGCACTGTGAGGATTGAACGAGCCTCAGTCTCACTCCGTCCTGAGGCAAACACAGCAGAGCAGAAACATCCCAACGAGGCTCCACAGAGAAAAGTGCAGACTTAGGCCATCACACGCCAGGACTTCCAAATGCATCCACACAACATTAAAACTAAGTATGATGCATAAAACAATAAAACATAAAAACAATGAGAATCCAACACTTTGTAGAAGCGTCAGACGCGTGAAGAGAAACCGAT